CAGCTTGAAGCCATGATGCTGATTATTCTACATCCAGGTACTACGCCGTTCTTCATATAAACACACATCTAATCAAACGGATGGTATCGGTATGGGCCGATTCTGCACAGCCAGGTATGGGGTATCGCTATCTGTCATGGTTTAAGGTGTTTGGCCCACATGCAGACACAGTTGGAGAACAAGAGGCAGTTTAAGATCTTTATTTAGGCTGAACACAGATTGGCTGCAGGCGATGTGAGCTGCAGGTGAGGAACGTCAGAGTTAGGAGTACTGCAGGAGGAGAGAGGGAACTGATTAACATCAGTAGAGTTAGGGAGATCTGCACTGATGCCGCTTTGCTTACCGCCAGGCACAGGTAACCTATCCAGAGACGGTGAGTGGAAGGAGGGATTCTGTGACTCACTGCTTTCCAATGGGAGGAGATGGCTGAGCGACAGGTGAGCTAGCGGATGGAACATAGGCGGGAGGCCGAGCAGCACCACAGCGGAGACAGGTTCGAGGAGCAGCTGAAGGAACCAGAGGGAATCCAGGAAGGGGGTCTCTTGTCCGGCTCGGTATCACCGAGGGGCCTGGAGGGGAACGCCAGAGCAGAATCTGAGCAGCAGGGATCCAGGAACCAGTCCTCAGCGCACGGAGAAGGAGGGTGAGGAATCCAAAGCCCGATTAATTGAGAGAGACAGGAGAACAGAGTTAGAACTGGGAATCCAAAACATTAAACTCTCAGGATCGAAGATCTGAACAGGACAGAGGCCTAGGCGTACCACCACAGTCGGGCGTGCTTCAGCTGAATAAAAGCTCCCTTTAAGCTCCAGGTGCGAGGCCACGCCCACCTGCCAACAACAGCCACCTGTGGAAGAGAATCAGCAGAGCACGCAACGCAGAATCCTCCAAAAATGGCATCAGCGCAACACTGGAGACCAAGATCATCGTCCTACAGTCGGTTTCAGTCTAAGTTATTTTAGTTTATATCACCAATTAAACAATGAATACATTAATAACAAGCAGAAAAGCCGACATCAGTGGAAGTTAAAGCCATGTTACACTAAATGTGGTGATTTAGTGAAAACAGCGACTGATGGAAGTCCTGCATCAGCCTGGAGGAAATGATTAGAAACAGGAGAAACATGGAGACATTTTCTCCTAAATCACCCGTTTATTAATAAACTGGTTTCTGTTATGAGGCCCAATTTTCAAAGTGACAGAGAATGTGCTTCTAGCTTAAATGAACGGCATAAAAAAAGCAAAGAGTTTTTCTATAATAGTGGATCTATGGAATTAAAGGATTAAATATATTACAAATATAACCAGCTTTACAATAAAACAGCATGTAGCTGAACGTGTCATGTACAGCATGGCGGCACGCTAATGGTAACTTAATCCTGATGATGTCATCACTGATGGTTATCAAGTGTTTTTTTATTTGGGTGGGAAAACTTTAATGAATTATATTGTGTTTATGAGAAAGTTAGGAAAGTTTTTTTTGTATCTCCTCCTTTAAAAAACACTTAGTAAAATGTTTATTATTTAATGATTATTATTTTTTGCTGTTGTTAATCTGTTGTTGGTTTGATAGAGATAAATAAAGCAGTTATTTCATGTTGGGAGTGTTTTGGATACAGAGGCTCAGCCAGAGTGATCTTAGTGGATTAGGGGCCCTGATGGTGGCGGGCCCCTGACTCCAGCCATACGCTGCCAAGACCCTGAGCTGGAGCGGAACACCTGGTCTCCATCCTTCCTCCCCTCCTGCTGCTCTCTTTATCTAACCAGGTTTCCTGGCAGTGTGGTTAGAGAGACGTTGGTCCGCCTCAGTGTTTGTGTTCCCTCGGCTTCCTCTTGGTATTTAGCGCTTTGGTAGATCAGAGATGGTAGGAGCGCTGCCTCCCCTCCCCCACCTCAGCTACATGCCAGGCCGCCTGAGACTCTCTCTGCCTTGCAGTTCAATCCACTGACTTTCACAGGGGGGGGGGGTTAGTATGAGTTGTTACTGAGTTGTTATAAAAAATCTGCTGTTTTCCCAACAGATCAAAGGTTTTTAATGTCAGAACTAGAATCTGAAAAAATTTGATATAACAATTCTATTTAGTTTATTTCTATAGCTCCAATTCACATCATGTCACACATTCAACTGCTCAAAAACAACAGCTTGTCCTGTCTTCAGTGTCTGTCTTTCTGGTCGTCCCTTCAGCTGAGGACGAGTCCCTGAAAATCTCACGGTCCACTTTCACGCCGCAGTCCACGCTTCTGTAGGACTGCTGATGGTTTATGGTCTGGTCCACCTTGCAGCTCTGCAGCAGTTATTTTATTATCCAGGAAAAAAGTCTCATTTAGACTTAGACTTAGACTTCTTTATTTGTCATTTTGTATGCACAGGGTGCATACAGAACGAAATTGCGTTACATACAGCTTATGAACGTTGCATTGATATTTCAAATGGCACAAGTTATAGAAAAATACAAAAAGTGCAGCAGTGGTCAAAGTGTGAACAGTGCAGAGGATAAGAGACAGTGTGCAAGTTGCAGTGGTTCAGTGCAGATAGACATTTGTGCAAAAAATGCGTTATTGAAAATAGAAATGAGATGAACAATTAAAGGGCTAAAAGTTAAAAGTTCAGCAGCATTTGATGCCCGATAATGTGCAATAGGTGCAGAGTTCGGTTTGTGGATCAAAGGTTCAACAGTCTGATGGCAGTGGGGAAGAAGCTGTTGCAGAACCTGGTGGATCTGCAGCGGATGCTGCGGAACCTCTTTCCAGAGGGCAGCAGGGACAACAGTCCATGGTGGGGGTGTGAGGGGTCTTTGATGATGTCACGGGCTCGGGACACGCAGCGCTGGGATGAAATGTCCTTAATGGAGGGAAGAGGAGCCCCAATGATTCCTTCTGCTGTCCTCACCACCCTCCTCACATTCTTCCAGTCAGAGGCTCTGCAGCCTCCACACCACAGAGAGAGACAGCTGGTCAGAATGCTCTCTATGGTGCTTCTGGAGAAGGTGGGGAGGATGGGCGGGGGCAGGCGGGCTCTCCTCATCCTCCGCAGAAAGTACAAGCGCTTCTGTGCCCTCTTCACTAGAGATGAAGTGTTTACAGTCCAGTTGAGGTTGTCCATGATGTGCACCCCCAGGAACTTTGTGCTGCTGACCACCTCCACAGCTGAGCTGTTGATGAGCAGTGGAGCATGGTGGGGGCGGTTTTTCCTGAAGTCCACCATGATCTCCTTGGTCTTCTCCACCTTCAGGATCAGGCTGTTATCTCTGCTCCACCAGCTGCTCCACCTCCTCTCTGTAGTCCAGGTCGTTGTCATCTCTGATGAGGCCCACCACCGTTGTGTCGTCCGCAAACTTCACCATGTGATTGGTGGTGAACCTGGGGACGCAGTCATATGTCATCAGGGTGAACGGCAGGGGGCTCCTCATTGATGAGGAACCTGCGGCATGTTTACTACTTTTATGTTCCTCTGTCCTCGCATGCCGTTAAACTGCAGCAATCACCGCTAACATCCACATCGCATGGACATCTGCAGAATCCATGGAATGGAAGGGGGTCTCTTGTTTGGCTCGGTATCACTGAGGGGGCTCGAGGGGAACGCCAGAGCAGAATCTGAGCAGCAGGGATTCAGGAGATGATCCGGTAGGTAGGTTCTGTTCTTCTGGTTCTGATCAGCAGCTCTTCTCTGCATTAAAGGAAACATTAGTAGCCTAGAAATGTGCTGCAGATGCCCCATTTCCACAACCCTTTAGAAACCGTACAGAGATCTATCTGATCACGGTAATGGAGGTAACTGTTGAGTGTTAATGACACTCCAAACTAAATCGGACCGTGCCAGACACAACCGAACCGCGCTAACATGGTACCAGCTCATCCTCAGGACTCGGCACGGTTCAGTCTGGCTCGGTTCTCATGAACACTCCGCGTAATCAGGACATTTCAGGCATTCCTTAAAATCCTAGATCCCAACGTGACACATGGTTTCCAGTGATGATTCTGCTGTGAGATGAACCTCATCGTCTGTCCTTGTTTCCTGCGTCTGGAAGCCCTGATTAGACGATCGTAGATCAAACTATCGTTTGTCGTATCCACTTCCCAAACCCCGACTCTGTCAAGGAAATTCACCAAAGGCTGCCTTCTTCGACTGGGCTGCCTCGACTCTCTGCAAACTTCCTGAAAGTTACGGGCGCCGCCATGTTGGTTTGCTTGTTTCCCTCTAGAGAGGAGTAGTACCGTAGATCGCCACTAGGAGGCGAGGAACCGGCTAGCATGGCGTGGAAAAGGTGGTCAGGAACTGAGCTCAGCATGGATCGGTTTCAGAGGGGAGTGGAAATGAATCTGTCTAATAACTCTACTGATTGGGAGCATGTATATATAGTAAAGAGAACTGGTCCTAGCATTGATCCCTGTGGTACTCTTTGACAGATGAAGAGTTACAGGGATTTAAACTGTATCAGAGCAAATATCATGGTGCAAAATGTAGGCAAACTAATGGAAATTGCTGCTGTAATCTTATTGTTTTAACAAAGGATGTTAGTTTGTATGATCCTGGGTTTAAAGCTGTGTGGCTGCACATTTAATGGTCCTCAGTGAACATCTGCTTCTGCCCAGACACATGTAAACCAGAGGGAGCATTGCCAAAGAGTAGCTATCAAACATCCTGTGATCTCCTGTTTTCATTTGAAGCTTCTTTGAGGAGTCTTTCCTTTGGGACATGTGTGAAAAACTCCATGCTGCCCAGGCCACAGCCTGCTGGCTTCAGTGGGAGCAAACTGCCATCTAATTATTTAGAGTCCAATGTTTGTTGTTGCTTTAAGGAGCAAAGTCCGGTCCTGGTGTTGAGTCCACAGAAAGAGGGACGTTTCAGAGCTGCACGCTGCGGACGTGCAGCTCTGAGCTGGATCAGCAGGTGAAGGTTTCTTTGCACAATGATTAAGAGGGAGAACCAATGGCAACAAAGGAGACAGAGGACAGTGGCTCCTCCCTCCCCCCCCTCACAGTATATAATGGCTGAGTGACCCAGAAAGCAAACAAACTCCTCTGAAGAGAGAGGAAAGGTTGTTTGGATTCCTAGCAGGGCTGCTGTAGCCCGAGGATCAGCGGAAGCAGCGCCTGAAGAACAGATTCTCCTCCATCCATCAGGTAGGAGATCCGCTCCGTTCCTCTGCTTCTGATCAGCTGCTCTGCTCTGCATTAAAGGAAACATTAGTAGCCTAGAAACGTGCTGCTGCTGCTGCTGGTGATGATGGTGATGATGGTGATGATGATGATGATGATGATGATGGTGATGATGATGATGATGATGATGGTGATGATGGTGATGATGATGATGATGATGATGATGATGATGATGATGCTTAGAAGACAATGAGCCCGTCGGCTGTTTTTCAGATTAAACAGGTCAGGCTGCTAGAAGCAGAAGCTGATTCGTTGTGTTAATAAGCCTCCATGGTTCCTGACCGTCCGCTCACAGCCTCACACACACACATACATGTTCTGCCATCATAGTGAGGACCATGTGTTTACTCCCTTTGACTTCCATTGATTTGCATTCATTTTCAACCCTTTCCTCGCCCTAACCATAAAAATAACCAAAACATTAGCAAAATAGCTAATGAGGAGCAGCCACAATGTCCTCACTCTGTAAAAATGTCCTCACTACGT